GAAGGCTTTTCAGGAAAGATATTCTTAAGAAAACTATCAGCCACTAGACTCCTGACCAGGAAACTCAGGGGTGGGGTTGCAGTAGAATCTAGAGAAATCAACATGACCTGGGAGAGGGCCCTTCAAAGAGGTAAGGTCTTAAAGGCATGTTCAAAAAACCAAAAGCAGAAAGCTACAGGGGTCACACCAGTGAGACCAGTGCCAGGAAAGCTACAGTCAGCAAGGTAATAACCATCAAAAGGGTTGTTTTTAAATATTTTGTTTAGAGCAAGAAAGAGTAAGAATGCATAACACTCATGGCTTAGGAGTGATGACCCTAACCAGGGGTTGGCAAATGTTTTCGGTAAAGAGCCAGGGAGTAAGTATTTAGGATTTATGGGCCATCCGGTGCTGGCTGCATACACCTGACTCTGCCATTGGAACGTGAAGCAGCTACAAACCATCTGTAAAGGACTAGGCATGGCTCTGTTGCAATAAAACTTTATTTACAAACACTAAAGTTTTTCATATAATTTTCACATGTCCCTAAATATTACTTTTTATTTTTGTACAACTATTTAAAAATATTAAAACCATCCTTGGCTTGCAGGTCATACAAAACAGGCCATGGTTGTGGTTGGGCCATGGACTTTAGTTTGCTGACCTTAACCCAGATGGATAACAGAGTGAGCCAAGTCAAGTGACCCTCATTTTCTCTTTTTAGGGAAATGCCTCTTCGAACCCTATGGAGTGACACAGCGATGGGGGAAGTGAAGAGCAAGGAAGGCAGGGAGGAGGCTTGGGCAGCCGGCTGCTTGCCTGCTCAATCCATGTCCGTAGGGCCAGCAGGATGTAAAGGATGGTGCTGGAATTACAAACAGTGATCGATGAGGAACTTGAGTGAACAGGTAATTTCAGGGAACTGGATAAGAGGGGGGAAAAATCATATTTTCTAAAAGGGACAATAAGAAAATTATTGTTCTGTGGTCTGGAAGTGATCTGCAGTAAACTTCGAACGCTTATTATGAGTCAGGTGGCTCATGAGCACTCAGGAAAGAGTGGCGCTCCTGCAGGCTGGCAGGGTTTACCAAGAACATGCCACACTCACACCAGGTCTATATATATATATATATATATATATATATAGAGAGAGAGAGAGAGAGAGAGAG